TAGCTTTTATGTATACCTATGTATATGGACAAATATAGCTGCATACAACCTCATTGGTGGACCTCTGTTCTGTTTAGAACAGAAGTTTTCAGATATTTCCACTGTTAACTCCATTTCCAGATCTGAGCTTGAGTTTTGCAGCTGACCTTTCATACAGGTTCCAGCCCCAGCCCTCAGCAGCCTCTTGCTCTGCTAAATGACACGGCGGTTGGAGACTGGGTGCTAAAAGGTCCCTGAGCTTGGAGGGGAACAGACAGTAGGTGCACAGGGTGTGTGTGCCAGCGCAGAGCCCACGGATCCTTCCCAGGGCCTTTACTTAAAGTTAGCAGCTTGGGCAGCTCAGCTGCTCCCCAACCATGTCCTCCTACCATTCCCATTTAGTGTACCCTTTGTGCCACAATATTCCCTGCAAATCTTTTTTTTTTTTTCCTCCACTTAAGTATGTCTGAGACTGATGGAATGAGATGGCACAGAACACGTTCTGGTAGAGCATATGAGGAAGCTTAGTGTTCACAGCATTTTAACTTTCTAAGTAACGTAACACAATTATATTACGCAACTCACCAGGTTCCCCCACGTGAGATTTCTTCCAGACTACTCATGACACTTGTGTTGAGGACTTGAGTTACTTATGTGCATAGGGAACTGGATAACATATATTCAGCTGATGTAATGTAGTTGTGATGGACTAACGGTATCAAAAAGGCCAGGTTTCCTGGTATGCCTCTTTATACCCAAGTCAGCATCAGGTAAAGGATAATATAGTTTTAAATATATTAATATCAAGGAGTTTTTTTTTTTTTTTTTTAATGGGGAAGTTATATTTGCATAACATGAGCACAGACTCACTTTGTCTCTAAAAAATTGCTCCAATGGAGCATTCCTGGGAATGGCAGTGACAGTAGGTAGTTATTACTAAAGGCAGGATTTGACCTTGAGTATTGTGATTTTGGTTTTTTCTCTGAACAGTTGTGTTGAAGTTGATCTGTTGGCCTATAGTAGGTGCATCTGTGTAGGCAGACCTAAGGGGGTATTTTCAGACTGTGAACCTGATGAGATTTTACTCTGAGCATCAGCACTGATCATCTTGCATTAGGCCATTACCCGTAATACAGAAGTACTTGGATCCTTAGTGTACCAGCTCCAGTAGGAATGGCAGATTCCTTTCGGGGCACACATGTACAATTCACAGATACATTTATGTCCCAAACCCTCTCTTCATTATTGTTTGCAACTAGCAAAAGATGATTTTGGAAGTTATGGCCTTGCTCTCCATTTTGCCGTAGGAATTTTTGTCTGGGCTCGCTAGACCTCAAGGAGAGTGGCGAGATGGATGTGCTTATGTGCTCAAATGCAGACAACTCTCAGAAGGAGACTAACCCCCTCGGCCATAACAATGTCCCCCAAGCTTTGCAAAAGCTTTCCTTGCAGCGTCCGACTCTATTGTCTTCTCCTATGCAGCTGAATAATTCTGCCATATGCAGTTAATCTGCTGGCCTTGCAAGGGGGCTAGCTGCATTTTGTGGAGCTGGAGTGATTATGTGAAAAACAAAGTTCTCAAATTGCTTTTAAGGATTCTCTGGGTGAAATATGAGTGCCCATATAAATGCTCTATATTCATGAATATGAAGTTAAAAGCAAATATTTTTTGTATGGCATGATCTGCTGTGCCTCTTTGAAACTAAATGTGGGTTAAGTAGGGCCTTTACCTAAGCAAGAGCTGCATGTGTGAGAACAACTGAAGATTTACTCCCCCATCCTCATCAGATCTTTGTGTTGAGATGCAGCTATAAGTTACTGCTGTCCTTCATAACAGTCAAAGTTAATTATTGACACAGTGCTTTTTCATTTAGGGGAGACAGGTCCATACTCTACTATGATAGAAGTTTGTTATGTTAAATGTTTGGTTAAATACATAGAAAAAAAGTGCTGCCACCACTTAGAAATATGCACAAAAAGTCGACGTTTTAAGTGGCAATTTAAACTAGGTTTAAATTTTAAACTAGGTTTAAGTAGGCAGCCTGGCTTGGCAGGTTCAGTAGTCAATGGAGAGCGAGGTGAAAGCTAAACCCGGCCTTGTCTTTGAATCATTTGCTGGAAAGGCTTTCTGGATAAATGAGCCTCCCAAAGATGACAGAGCTTCGTGAGTCGTGTCCTAGGCTGAGAAGCTGAAATCACCTATGAAGTAGCTTCAAAACCATTAAACGACAGAGAATTGGGCTCAAATATTTTAGAAAATATTGTTTAAGTAAAATTGCCTTGTAACCCACCCCCATCTCAACCAGTTCCACTGGCTTCACTATGGATGGAGTTTCATTTGAAGGATCTTGGGATTTTCATGGCTCATAAAGGGAATCATCAAAGAAAATAAAAGTGCAAATGAAACATTAGAGTAGCATCAATAGGTAACAAAACATTGACTAAGAACAGGACACCATGCTAATCCATCCCAATAAATTATATTTTTCTGACAACTTACCAGGCTAACAAACACACTTAACAGAGAAAAAATAAACAAGTTGCCACAAAATGACATTTATTTTCTTTGCTGGGCTTTCTTTGTAATCCTGGACAACACTATTTTTTGAAATAACCTTTAATTAACCTATTCAGCCCAAACTAAATGTGTATTTTACTCAGAAGCAGTGGAAAGAGACAGAGTGCAGAGTTAATCTCTAAGAAGTGATATGTCCAACATAAATATCAATGCTAAACTAAAATATTTTGATTTGTTTCCTGTGTTTATTTATAAGTATTTTTTGTTTGTTGCCATATATTTAATTTTTTTTTTCAGAAGTGAGCATTTCAGGCTTAGCATTTCAGGCCTCAGTGAAGAGAACTGATCAGTTTGATAGCAGCAACTTATACATGAATCCAAAAATAATCCATATGAACAATTTTTATGACCACTTCCATGCAGTCTTCCCAGATAGTTCCAGTGCTGAAATCTTAGGAGAAATGAACTCACATATGCCAAAGGAAACTTATTTTCATGTCAGCAGACTCTGGTAGGCATAGAGATCCACAATTCAAAATATTTCTGCTCATCAGAAACGCTCCAAGCTTCTTTGCCTCTTTTTGTTTTCTTCAGAGGGAAATATTTTCACATAGGTGTCTACTGTAGCCCTTGGGGAGCTGCACAGTAGCTCTTTGCCAGTAGGAGTTGATTTTTTCTTGCATGCCAGCAATGGCATGCATTTTTCTTCATGGCCAGCAATGGGACAGGTCACAATCACTGAAGACGACGAGTGTGTTTCCTTGTAACAGATGACTGTAAACATACAAAAATTAGACTAAATGAGAAGTTGTGTAAAATTAGATGCTTTAAGGGTCAAAGCTAGATCATTTTGCAGTAGTTTTTGAATTTATGGGACTTACCTTCCATTTTGCCTTGGATAATGTCCTTTATTGTAACAACTCTGTCCAAAATGGTTATATCATTAGAAAAGAATTTTCACTGAGTTACTCAAAAGAAAAAGTGACCTTTTTTTGTGGGTCTAGTAGCTTTTCAGATCACGGGTCAGGGAAGCAGGTCAGGGAATATGTTTATACCTTCACACTTCACCAAAGCACTAGTAAATGCATTGTTTGGTCCATTGGTTGGTCCAGTAGGGAGTTCTCTAATACCTCAAAAGGATTAGGGATTTTTATGCCTGTTTGTTAACATTATAGTTATTTTATCAAACGACTCTTTATTATTTATCTTAATGATTTGTATTATTAAGAGAACAGTTTTTTTCAATAGGCTGTTCTCGACCTGGATTATAGGCTGCCTCCAGAACTGGAACAGGCTTGATGTTCTTGGGCCACTCTAAATCCAAAAAGGAACCTGCCTCCTCCTACGGATCTCATATTAGGAAGTTTTTTTAAGATATACCAGAACCCTGTATCCCCCTTGTTCTACTTACCATTAAAATACAGTCTTCCTGTTGGGAAAGCATGTTCTGTTAATAGTTACTTTTATTTGAGCAGTTAACACCACTGCAGCTTCCCCAAGTTTTTCTACATTGCATGTTTACTGCTAGAAAAATATCATTACATAAGAACATAATACATCTACTGGGGAAAGACAAAATTATTTTTAGCCCAATATCCTGTCTCTGATAGCAGCAAAGAGCAAATGCTTAGGAAAGAGTATAAAAGTAGACAAGCATATGGTATTTCTTCCTTTGATAAACACTCCCACCTTCCAGCTGCCTCTGGCTTAAAGATGTCCTGAGAGAAAAGTTGCATCATTAATTGTGTTTTTAATAAGCCTTGCTATGCTTTTCCTTTCATTATCTTGTCTGATCACTTTCTGGATCCATAATACTTTATTCCATCATTTAATTGCGCACTGTGTAAAAAACAGTGCTATATATTTAAATATAAAATTAAATATTCACGGTTGACAAATGCAGTTAACAGACCCGGTTCTGTCTTGCTCTGTGACACTCCAATGTGGAAGTGTCAGCTGGGATTCACTAAATGTGTATGTGTCTAAAAGTTGCATTTTTTTCTACCTTATCAAACGAGCAGACTCTGTGAATAAGGATTAAACAACAAATAAGGATTAACCTGCCTGCAGCTACAGCTAACTATTTAGAAGAGCATTTAGCTGGGATGAGCCTTAAATTTCACTTAAAGGAGACTTTCAGTGCTTGCACTTGTTCTAACATAGCATTCACAGCCATCAAATAGCGGTTAAGAGCATCAGGACTCCTGGTTTCCCAGAGTTAGGCTGGAGTTTCTTGGGATGTTGTTTTAGGACAGGAAGCTACCCCCAAATATGTTATTTTCACTAGGCTTTCTAGCTCAGGTCCGTTATAAAAGTTCCAGGTAAATGTTTTGCCAGGAGCCAAGGCAGCTGCATGCAGGCTGAGCTGTCTGTTCAGTGTTGTGGGCTTAGCGGTCACGTAAAGGTACAATCAAATAAAATTGCTGTAATTTGAAATGTTTGTTTTCCAGAGCTCCTTTTGTAGATTAAATGCACAGCAGTGACTTTTCTCTCTGTTATACAGAGGAGCCAATATACTGTTATACCCCCCACAACTTCACCCGCGATCAAGCCTTGTATGCCAGAGGATATTGTTGGACAGAACTAAAAGATGCCCTGCCAGGAGTCGATGCCAGCCACTGGCCCTCCTTGTTTGAGCATAAGTTCCTACCTTATGCGCTGCTGGCTTTTGCTGGGATCATGTACATTCCAGCTCTGGGCTGGGAATTTCTGGCCTCCACGCGACTCACTTCCGAGCTTAATTTTTTGCTTCAGGAGATTGACAATTGTTACCACCGGGCAGCTGAAGGGCGGGCACCGAAAATAGAGAAACAAATTCAGTCCAAAGGCCCAGGCATCACCGAGAGAGAGAAGAGAGAAATTATTGAGAATGCAGAGAAAGAAAAAAGCCCTGAGCAGAACTTGTTTGAGAAATACCTGGAAAGAAGAGGACGAAGTAACTTCTTAGCTAAGCTTTATCTTGCCAGGCATTTATTCATCATCTTTCTGAGCATCATACCAATTACATACTTATCCACCTACTACGCTACACAGAAGCAGAATGAGTTTACGTGCGCCCTGGGAGAGCCTCCAGACAAAACCAGCAGTTCCAGGTTGCACATCAGAGTGAACTGCAAACTGCCGTCCGTCCAGCTCCAGCGCATTATTGCTGGCGTGGATATCGTTCTCCTTTGTTTCATGAACTTGATAATCCTCATCAATTTAATTCACCTCTTCATTTTTCGCAAGTCCAACTTCATATTCGATAAACTCAACAAAGTCGGAATCAAGACCAAGAAGCAGTGGCAGAAGTCCCAGTTTTGCGACATCAATATTTTGGCCATGTTTTGCAATGAAAATCGGGACCACATAAAATCCTTGAACCGCCTGGATTTCATTACCAACGAGAGCGACCTGATGTACGACAACGTGGTCCGGCAGCTGCTGGCGGCGCTGGCCCAGTCCAACCACGACGCGACGCCCACCATGCGCGACTCGGGCATCCAGACCATAGACCCAAGCGTCGACCCGGCGGACATCGACGCTAACGAGCAGCTCATCATTAAGAGACCGAGGAAGAAGATGAAGTGGATCCCGACTACCAACCCTCTCCCTCAGCCCTTCAAGGAGCAGCTGGCCATTATGAAGGTTGAAAACCATAAACCTGAGAAGCCTAAGCCTGTTAGGAGGAAAACTGCAACCGATAGCCTCATAGCGCCTCTGCTGGAGTCCACTGCCAAAACCTCCCAGCAGTCATCAGCCCATAAAGCCGAGTCCAACGCCATCCCAAGCACCAGCACTGAGAAAAAACACACGCGACACTTCTCCTTGGATGTTCATCCATATATACTCAGCAGTAAAAAGCCCAAGCCAGAGATTCAAGCCATGCCCTCAATGCCTACATCAAAAAGCCAAGAGGGTGGATTTATAAACCAGGAAGAAAATGTCATAGTACACGTCACCTCCTCTCTCAAAGGTACAGTACATCTCTCCAGCACAACCCCCACAGACCGTAACTTGCGTAGCGATCTGAACTCAAAGCTTATCTCACTGTTTGAACTACCTTACAAGGTTTGGGGATAGCTAATAATGTTAGGGCTTGTAGGCCTCAGAAGCAGTGGTTCTCCCTTTCCTAGTCCCTTTCTGAATATACCTTATATTAGTATAGGCAGTGTTAGAGGCAAAGCTGTGTCTGCTTTCCTGCCGCAGGAAACTTTCCCAGATTTTCACAACTTTCAACATGGTTGTGCCTTTGCCAAGGAAGTAAGGAGGGTTTGGCCTCCATGAAACCCTTCCTGCTCTACCAGCACCTAGAATATTTCAAATGTGCCTTAATTTCATGCCATATAGAAAATGCCATGGTAGATCAGACCTGGAAAGCCGCTTGTCCCAGTACTCTGGCCAGCAATAGCCACCTCTAAGGAATATGTAGAGACATTAAAAGCTGCCTGTGAAAAAATCCTCCTTGACTACCAGTTCTCAGGAGTTAGCCACTGTCTGTCACCTGAGCGATTTAAATTCAGATAATTTATGTTGTTTTTCACCCAGGAGACATTTTAAATTGCCCTTTGTCCCCTGTATGGACCCAAGAGTGGACGGTCCGAAGCGCGGGTGCTGGTTGGGATTCAGGAGTTGTGCTGTTCACTTCCTGCGTGGCCTCACAGGAGATACTCTTCCTGTGCCTCAGTTCCTGTGTGTACCTTGGAAATCATATCCCTTCTCGGCCTCAAAAGAGTACTCCAAATAGATAGATAGATAGATAGATAGATAGATAGATAGATAGATAGATAGATAGATAGAAAAGACTGTGAGATGGTAGGATGATGGGGTAAGACTTCATGCATGCAAGCACTGAGAACAGCAGCAGGTCAGAAGCTAAGCTGACAGACAGGTACCTTCATGTTTATCATTGTAAGCTACTGACATAAGAAAGAAGATCTATGCAGTTGAAGTTGCAGAAAGCTTTGTACGTACTTAAAGCAATGGCTCTCATCTCATTACAAGCTAAGACCTCCCTCTGGGCCTCGACAGACTGACAGCTACCGTCACCCCACTGCCCAGCAGAGAAGTGATTTGAGGTATAAAGTTTCTGTCACTTCCAAATCCTTATGCTCCCTTAGAGCCCTGCAACTCCCCGATGTGCATGTGAGCTGTTCTGCAGCGTTCCTTATCCAGTCACCTGCTCTGATTACAACTCCTCAAAACTACTGGGGTCTTCTGCTCTCAATTAACTTGATCTAAATTAGTGCTCAAATATTTTGCAGCAAGAGCAAAAAATAATTACTGTAGTTTTGGGGCTCTGTTAAGCTCCCCATCCCATTAAAAATATTCAGCTTTGCTTTTGAGTTAGACCAACATTACAATCCATCAGGTAAGGTAGAGCTGTAAATTCTGGAAAGAGACGTCAGTTAACTACGAATTGCTGAGTTCTTTCTAAAGACAAGTGGCTTACAGTATGTAACCACTATGTTTTCCCATCAAAAAACCACTTTTTTCTTTTTTTTTGGTATTGTGTGCATTTCAGCATTCACATTGTTTGCCAAAACATTAAATCATAATATTTATAAAACACCAGAACACAGAGGAGAAAAAAAATACTTTTCAGTTGCTTTCTGTTCACGTTATGAAAATACCATTCACATAAGGAAGCATGAGCATGCATAAAAAGAGAGTGAGATTCACCAACCTGTTTGTGATTTCTCCTGTTTCCCTGACTTTACAATCCTATTGTTATGAAACAGTCCTTTGGGATTCCTCAAAAGTCCCAAGAACATCCTTTTTTTTGGAGGGGGGGTATCTTCCTGCTCCCATTGAAATCAATGGCAAAACTGCCAATGGCTTTTTGGTTCAGGACACTGCTCTGAGATGGACTAGAAAGGATGGTGAGCGACCACCCGTCTTTTAACAGTGTATGTTACTTTCTTGTAGACCCCCCTCATCCTGCGAAGGAGATGCTGTACTCATCGGAGACGTGCAGGACAGTGCCTGCTGCTGGGGCTTTTGTCACCTGCAACCACAACCACATAGCCACCACCGCCGCCACGGCGAGTCTGCCTTTGAATCAAGTCAAGGCGGAGGCAGCGCCCGCGCTGAACTGCACCCCGAGCCACCCCTTGCTGCACATCAACACACTGTACGAGGACCACGAGGAAGAGGTTTCGAACATTATAGACAACGGCCTGCACTCCCCCGCCGACGCGGGGGCGATGCTCTCCCTCCCTGCCATCCCGACCCCAAAGCAGATCAGGTTGGCCCCATTCGATGAGCCCATGGCGATGGTGAGCTCGGTGGAGTACTGAGGAGCAGGGCCGGCCGCGGCGCCCAGCAATGCAACCCGCTGCATGAGAGCATGGAGAATCCCGCATACAGACTCTAGCTTTTGGTAATAACACCACACGGGTCTCCAGGATCCCGTCATGAGCACTGTCAGCCATCTGCCAAATAGAATAAAGCAAATCCGGTGGACGTACACCAAGGCAACCCTTAGTTCTAACTATAAACAATAGCTTCCTGGTCTAAATGGGAATTAGCACAACTTCTGAATGGTAGCAATCCGATGGCATGCCACAGTAACTCTAGTGAGCCTTTAAATCCTTCGTATTCAGAATCACTGATCGAAGTTGAAACAACATGGAGCTGAGGTGCATCTTCTGTTGTAATGGCAGCAGTTAAATAAGGTTTTTTTCCTAAGCAGAGGCAATTTTTTTTTTAATTCAACATTATGATAAAAGTTATATGCAAGCAACATTTCTGTTTCTTTCTTTAGCTCCCTTCTGTTCGGCTTGAGGGAGACCTAGCTTAAAGGGCCTTACTACCACCAGCATTTGAGTGCAAAGAGAACTGATGTACGTCAATCTCTTGCATTTATAAATGAGAATACCTGAGGTACGCCCTGCCCTTTAACAAGCTTATATGTTTGATGGAAGATGATGAAATGAAGAGTTTATTTTTTTAACTATATTTTACCATGGGAAAAAATTACTTTAATAACTTTTAAAATCAGGTGTTGCTTTTAACAAAATGGGTAGAAGAGTGTCATTGTAGCTGCTTATTTTTTCATAGTGTATTTATTAACCAGGTTAGAAACTTTCATGGGTGCTTCACTGATACGAAAAATCTTAAAAGGTTGTTACAAAATATGAAACCAGCAAAATTCTTCAAATAACACACAGTTAAAGAAGTCTACAAATTTAAGTCTGCAGACTTGGCTAGTCTCTTATGCAGCCAATACTTAAGGCCGTGGATTTCACTGAATTGACTCACCTACCTAAAGTTAAGCACATACCTACTGAAACGGCCGTGCTGGATGTAGACCCTAGTGCAGGCAGCCAGTGATCCTGCAGAATGTGCCGCCACTCTGATTCAATAGTTGCCTTCCTTGGCTCAAAGCACATCCTCACGCCCATCTTCCTACAACTTCAATATCTGTGATTTAATAGAGAACTCTAGTATAAATAAAAACAACTATTAAAAGTGTATCATGCAATAACCATTCTCAGCAAAATTATTGTGAAACAAAAGTGACTGTGTTAAAATAATATTCCTAGCTGCATTCAAAATTATGGACTGTGTGTGTTTGCTTCAAAATTATGTATAATGGTAGAAAAAATATGCAGCACAAATATGGGACTGGAATCTTGAATTTATTTTTAATTTATTACCTCAGACATGGATATATGATACCAGTATTTAATGAAAATAGCACTGAAAATAAATACATATTATTCTGAATATTTTAATGTGTGCTACTTCCTAGCTTAATTACCTACAGCAAGTGGAATTCTATTACTAGCAGTAGATGGGACATATAAAACCACCGTTCCCCCTTATGTTCTTTCAGTTATGCCTGACCTTTTTGGCCAAAAAAGCCAAGAACCACAAGGACAGTGAAGGATGGGCTCGCAATTCTGGGAGGGAACAACTGGAGGATGTGACTTCACAGGGCAAGTGCAGGATCCTGCACCTGGGGAGGAATAACCCTGGATAGCAGTACAGATTATGGGTTGACCTGCTCGAGAGCAGCCCTGCAGAGCAGGACCTGGCCATCATGGTGGATGACAAGTTGACCATGAGGCAGCAGTGTGCCCTGGTGGCCAAGAAGGCCAGCGGGATCCTGGGGTGCATTAAGAAGAGCATCTCCAGCAGGTCGAGAGAGATGATCGTCCCCCTCTACTCAGCCCTGGTGAGGCCACATCTGGAGTACTGCGTCCAGTTCTGGGCTCCCCAGGACAAGAGGGATGTGGAGCTGCTGGAGAGAGTCCAGCGCAGGGCTACTAGGATGATCAGAGGCCTGGAACATCTGCCATATGAGGAAAGGCTGAGAGAGCTGGGTCTGTTCAGCCTGGAGAAGAGGAGGCTGAGGGGGGACCTGATCAGCGTGTATAAATACCTCAAGGGAGGCAGTGAGGAGGAGGGGGCCGGCCTCTTTTCAGTGGTGGACAGTGATAGGCCTAGAGGAAACAGCCACAAACTGAAGCACTAAAAGTTCCACAGGAACTTGAGAAAACATTTCTTAACAGTGAGGGTGACAGAGTCCTGGGACAGGCTGCCCAGAGAGGTTGTGGAGTCTCCTTCTCTGGAGATGTTCCAAACCTGCTTGGATGCAGCCCTGTGCTCTAGGTGACCCTGTGTGAGCAGGGCGGTTGGACTGGACAATCTCTAGAGGTCCCTTCCAACCTTAAGGGTTCTGTGATTCCATAACTTGCAGGGGCGTCCATGGTGCCTGGGTGGGTTGGGAGCTCAAGTGGCCAGGCAGCTCTGCCCTGGAGCTGGGAGAGCCCTCTGAGTGACACAGCCCTGGCACGGGCGAAGTCTTGATCTTCTTGTAAGCTGCCTATGGCTCAAGGGCTGCAGTCCGAGCTCCCTTCTGACCCATTAGAGTGCCAATTCCAGGGCGTTTGGCATCACTGTTCCCTGCGTACATGACTTCCTTAGCAGTGGATAAAGCAGTGTGAAGTTTTTAAGCTATAAATAAGCACTTACTTAGCCAGGGCCTAATTCTACCCGTTGTACACTACATTTCTCTAGCTAGAGACTCCCAGAGCGCAACGTGACCCACGAGACGACCACGAGGCCTTGGCTCTCCCTCCTGAGCGTAACTGCCACCCGCTCAGGTTCATTTGACATCAGCAGCACATCAAGACTTCAGAGTACAACTGAATGTACTACCACATATTGTCCACACAGATATGCAATTCTGTAGTTGGAACTTAGGGTTTTTTCAGGCAAATTAAAACCATTATAGCTCAGTACTTCTTAAATGCCTGTAACATTTTTGAAAAATTATGGAAAATTGTCTCAAGGAAATCAGGAACCCATAAATAAAACCAATGAAAGAATAGGGCCCCGAGGCCAGATCGAAAGAGATGCAAATGTTTTATGCCACTGTAGTTTCAAGAGCTTCAAGCCAGTGTGGCAAATTTCTTCCTGTTTGCCATAGCTCAAATGTCAACGTTACACAGACATGAAGCAATTTTAGGGGTTGCCTCTTTGCTCTTCACTTGGTTTTCTTACACTGAACAAAAAGTCACCATGCTGACCTGTAGCTGAAGTTATTTACCAATATATGCATCACTACCAAGTTTGAAAAGGGCAAGGATCCAAACTTCGGTTTGTAGTACTTTAAAAAGAGCTACATTCAGTGAGGACCTTCATGACTCAAAAAATGGATTCTTGGGCAGAAACATATACCAAGACAGGATGAGTGTTTCCTGGGGATGATTGTCCGCTAAAGATGCACATGCCCCTCCTTCATTCAGGATGAAAACTGCATGGACATCCTGTCATTCTCAGTAACATTCCTGAGTTCTACTCGTTTAGGACCTGCTGGTACTTTTTTACCAATCAGTATCAATTAGACTAGACTGACCTAAAAAAAGAAAGAAAAGCAGGTAGTTCTTCGACCCTGGGAAAAAATCAGGGAACAAACTGAAGTTTGAGAATTACTCTTTTACTTACTTTTCCATGCTGTGTTTCAGGATTTTTGCAGCATCATCTTTCACAAGTTGGAAGCTGTGGATATATGATGTACAAAGTTGGGAATAATTGCACACCATCTACTTGATAAAGGCAGGATGGTGGTCTAGGCATAACACTTAAAAGAACAAGCAAGCAGAGAGCGAATGCAACTGAGTCTTGGCTAATGTGGTTAGATATCACTGCTGAAGGCACATAGCAAACACCATCTCCCTGGAAGGCTGAAAGGAAAATGTCTGGGTCTTTCTCAGAGGAAATTATCTGAACTAATGACCAAAATAATGGGAAAATGCAGTCCCATTTAAAGATACCTCCTCAAAGCTGAATCACATTATTAACTCCATCTGCCTATTCTCTGCTCTGATGGTTTCAATTCGATAAATTAGATGACTCACGTTCTTCGAGGACCTGCTGTCCCTCTCAGATTAATGGCTGTTTGCCCATTTACTTCACTGGGACAAGTACTGGAGACTGAGAGTACAGAACCCCCTTTCTTCCTCCTACTCAGAGTGCATTTTATAACCAAACAGAAGAGACAAGTGTGTCAGAAGCATCTTTTAAGCCTTTTTAGCCTGCCAAAACCCAGTGGGACATCAGCACTTTCTATCTCACAGCCAAGTGCTTCTTGGAGATCTTTTTTTTCATGCAGCAATACTTATACTACAGTAACAATTGGCTGTACTGAGTAAATGTGCATATACATGCACATATACAAATGTATATATCCAACTACATGCTTAAAATTCTACATACACATGTAAATACATATCTTTTGCATAGATATACTTTCATCATTTCTGCTTTTTAAATGAGCTATACAAACATGTCTGTTCCTTTCCCATTACCAGGCTTTTATGCCCAGTACGGCAGTATGTTGTACATCTCTGTCTCCGCTGGGATTTTCTGATGTTTGCTTTCTTAGCTCCATTCCCAGAAGAATTAGGTCTGCTGTTTTTATATATATATGTTTTGGCACTGACAAGGTCCTAATCTTGAGAGTCCTTCTGTGCATGGCACTTACTAAGACTCCTTGGCAGCAAAATACAGAACAAAATTTATCCCTGCACAGGGATGTGGTCAGTATAACCCAAAGCTGCTTTGCACACCCTTTGTCACTGCAGTAGAGCGGCTTCCAAAGCCGGTGCTGAGCCCTGCTGCAAGCAAGGCAGGCTTAGAGTTGTCTTTGCTTGCCCTGGTTACCAGTTGTGAGGTTTTCTGATAGTTGGAAGTACACCAGGGATGTTACTCACAGGCTCTAGGTCTGCAAGAGTCGCTGCACTGAGCAACTGAGCTTTGAGCTTCATCTAGAGCTTTAAGAAAGCGGATCATGATGCCCTTTCATGCTTTTAACCGAAAGACCACTAAGCTTTTGGATCTTTAAGAGCATGGCCTATGCTTGGGAAGCCAATGACTTAGGGAAAACTGAAGCAAGAACTTCCAGTGCTGCAAAGAGGAAAAATAAGATTTTTCTCTCTGCATAACAGGGACAGAGAACATCCAACTTCCAACTTCTTAATCAGAGAACTCAAGAAGCTTTAGAAGACCTGCATTATCTTGGGCTACAGATAAAGACACTGAGGCATAGAGAAGTGAAACAGTTTGTCCCAAAGTCATTTAGACTGTGTATAAACTTGTCTAAACTAGGGCTGAGAATATGCCCTGGGTCCTGTAACACTGTCCTACATTCCAGTGCGGACAATCTGTGAGGATGAGTCTGGGGGCTGCAATAAAACTCTGTGAATTCCTTTCCTACCATAAAAAAAAAAGGGTTGGGTTGGTTTGTTCAAACAGAAAGTGTGGAATTTTGCTTTAAAAAAAGCAATAATTTTCTCCTAAAGTCATTCTGCTATAATAAAAGCCACAGAACACACTGGGAGTTTTACACAGGACAGTTATTTTTCAGGCACCTTCCAATATTTTCTAGCTTCTGGAGGAATGTTCCCCTCAGCCTGTAAACAGAGCACAGCTAGCAGGAAAACACGCTAAGTACATTATTTACAAGCAATAAACTTTCAGCTTTTGCTATTCTCTGAAGAGTTCTAAAGCATTTCTTAGCTATTTTGCAACAAGATACAAACAGAAAAATGTTATGAATGACTCTGCTGTACGAGTGAGAACCTCTGTTCTCTGCTGAGCAGATGCAAGGAAATGCTACCAATCTTGTTCCCCGCAGTGGTTATTGATATTTCTGACTTCGTACTTCACTGCATTGCTATTTGTTCAAAGGGTGAATTTACCCAGAGCCAGAGCCAGTTTAATGTGAAAGAAGAAATAGTTGGGCCTCCTGCTGGGGTCTGGAGCAAAGAAGTTTACTGAAATTTTTTTGATGATTAGGAATCATTTTGGTGAATAAGCTCAGTGTTCGCAGAATTCACCAGTCTATCTTTCCAAACACATATCCAGGGAGTGTGCTGAATGCACAATAAATCCATGGAAGAAGAATGCGTGATTCACAAGCAAAATCTGAAGTCTTACATAAAAAGAAGTAGAGAACTACTCTACATTCTCCACTGCAAATGCCTGCTTGAAAAGAAAAATAATATGCATAAAAGATGTTACTGGTTTCTGTTCCAGTAGCTTTTATACTGAGCCAGTGAAGCCGTGACAGTTTACCACAGTTGTCAGCCTGTGCCCAGGCCCAAGGGTGCACAGCAGAGGAAATAGATGGGTGCATTTTAATGCTGCAGAAAAGAAGCTTTGGAGAGCA